CCCGACCCCAACCTGGCTGCCCCACCTGGCGAGTGGGCGGCGCTGGACTAGGGGGACGGGGCTGGGGCCTCTCAACTTTTCCTGGACCCATGGTGTCAGCAGCGGCCGCCAGATGCCCGGGGTTCGGCGGGAGGGGGAACCCGACCAGAGGGAGAGGGCTTCCAGGAGACAAAGACTCGGGCCGGGGCTGGGGGCAGGGGCCGGCGCCTCGGGGGTCTTTGTGCCGACACGTGCATCTCGCGTTTGTGAGTCTTTGTGGATTTGGGTCCGGGGACGTGCATCTGCCTGTGCCTTTGTATGTCCGTGGCTTCGCGTGGCTGTTTCGCGTCTGTGTCCACGTTTTGTGGGCCCGTTTGGTTGTGGGTGTTGGTGGGCGCATCGTTGTGTCCGCGTACGTGGTCTGTGCCTGTCGACGTGTCGGGATTGGGCGTCCGTGGAGTGTGTGCGCGCCGAGAGCCGGACACCGCCCCAACTCCTCGCTCCCCTGCTGTCCACCCGGGCCCCGGACTTGGCTTCAAACTTTTCTCCCGGTTTCTCGGGCAGCAGCTCAGGTCCTCCCCGCTGCAGCCTGGGCTGGGGACGCTGGCAACCCTACGCTCTTTCGTCTCCTGGGATCCTTAGAGCCGGGAGGGGACGAGACAGGACCGGCGGGGGTTGAGGGTGGGGATCGGCAGTGCCTGGGGAATGGCCTCACTCAGGGCGGGAGGAACGTGCCGGCCACCCCCGCCGAACTAGCTAGGGGGAGAGAGGGAAGCGGCTAGTCCTGGGCCCCGGCCAGGAGCTGGAGAAGAGGAGCAGGCAACCGGTGTTGCTCGCCCGGCGCTTCTCGGAGTGTATGTGATCCAGAGAGACGTGTCCTCCGGGCAGAGAGGCCAGTCCCCAGCCCCAGCTCCGCTTTGAGATCCGCTCTCGGTTTGCAAGCCGCCCCTGGGGTGGGGGAATCAGCCCTCCGATCCCGTAGGTGAGAATGTGACGGCTTTTCAGGATCCGGGCCTGGCCGGGGCGCCGGCTCCCGGACCCCCAATTGGACTGTGGTGCGTAGGAACCTTGCACATACTGGTTGCGCAAGGGCCGGCTCCTGGCCCACAGTACGGCACTGTGCAAATTGCCCAGCTTGTTAAGGATGGGGGTGAGAACTCCCTCGTGGCGCCGAGCGTGCGGTCAGGATACCCAGCACAGCCTGCGAGAGCCGGCCTGGGAGCGGTGCCCGCCCACACTTGGCCCGGGCGAGGAGGTGACTCAGGAACCTATCCTATCCTTCCTCCTTGCCTGCTCTACCCTTCCGAGAAGTCTAGGCTTGCAGAGCCCAAGTCTGACCCTAGAGGGAGGGTTCAGGTGACGGGAGACTGCTGGGCTTTTGATCCTGCGTCCCAAAGATAACCCTAACACCTTATCTCACAGCGGACCCACCCCGCCCCAGTCTTATACCCAGAATTTTGCCAGATACTGTAGATGTGGAGGGGCACAAGCCATTCACCTTGGAAGGAGGCCACCGTGGGCACTTTCTTTCCCTCTCTCGGCTTCAGTTTCCCCTCTGGAAAGGGAGGTGTTGACAGCCTCTCTCCTCCCTTTGGATTCAGGCTGACTGGTAGAGACCCCAAAACCTGAAAACACTTTAATGTTACACACATCTCCATTCTACCTTGACTAATTCTCTGGCACTAATTTGGTCTTTTGAAGGAGAGGCGAGGAGGTGGCTTTGAAGTTACTTAGAGATGAAGTGAGGTGGGCCAGGAGCCCCTGCAGTCCAGGAAGGCTGGAATGCAACAGTCTGGGGAAGTCAGGTGAATATACCCTGGAGAGAGAAAGTGTCTCCCACAGAGGAAACTGCACTGCATGGCTCTGTGCACTCTGATAACAGCACAGAAGAGGTCGGCATTGTGGACGGTCAGATGGGGGCAGAGATTAGAATTCAGCTTGAGGCTGGGAAGGAAGGCAGTGGCCAAGTATGAAGGCCTTGAATGCCAGGCCTAGGAGCTGGTATTTGAACTTGTACTCAGTAGAGAGCTGCTGGAGGGTTTAAACAGATGTGACAGTATGGGAAAGGTAATTTAAGAAATTTTCCTTTGGCTTGTGGATGGTGCTAGACACTGGGAGAGGAATCTGGAGGCCATTGATTGCTCCAGCCTTTTAGAGTCAGAAGGACCTGAATTTTACTCCTACTCCATTGCTTCCTAGCTCTGTAGCCATGGGCAAGCAACTTGACCTCTCTGATTCTTGGTATCCTCCTCCTTCAAATGAAGACAGGAATTCCTGTCTCATTGATCTGTGAATGTCAACTAGGTAGGATAATGAATTACATGTGCTAATAAAATGAGAAGAGATTTATAGTCTGTATTACATTGTGCGGACATTTGTTGGCTTGCACTGACAATAGTCAACATCTACTATGGTCCTACACCTGCTTTCACCACCTGGCAAAGCCCTTAGTATCCTGCAAGCTTGGACCAATTGTTACTTTCTCCAAGCAGAGGAAAGCTTTCTGATCAGGGCTTTTCACATGTAGTTTATTCTCTTTCACTTGGCCTAGCCCCATGCCGGAAAGGAGCTGGACACAAATTTGGAGATGGCCACAGACCACGAAGTGTTTTACCTTGAAGAACGGCCTAGGGGGAGGGTGACCTTTTGCCAGATGAGAGGCAGGTTAGATTTGAAATCGAATGAGTAAGAATTTGTGTGGTAGACAAAAGAAGGCCATCTCTGTCATCTTCAGCAGAGAGAACAGCCTGTGCAAAGGCAGAGAGCCCTCAGAGCGAGACGGGCCTCTAGATTGGCACTTTCTCTTTGTGGGATGGGTTTTAAACAGGGAGCAGTGGTGGGATCCTAGTCTTCTGTTGAGATTGTTCTCTGGTGCCCAGCAAGGCAGGCTATTGGAGGCAGAGGGCCAGGAACAAGTTGATTGCAACAGTCCAGGCCAGGAGGAAGACACACTGGAAGGAAAAAATACTATTGGGAACCTTACCCTTGTAGATTATCCTCCTTGGGTGAGGTTGCTGGGGCCCCAGGGCCCACCTGCATCAGGGATCATGTCACAGAGGAGGCCGGGCACTGGGTGTCAAATTACCTGGATCCTGAGTCCAGCCCTTGGCTTCCATGGCTGTGTTGACTCTGGACAGATCACTGAACTTTCCTGGGTGTCTTTATGCAGCTGTAGAAGAGATAGGATGCCATCTAACCTGCTAACCTTGCAGGATGACTTGCAGGGAGGCACTGGAAAGGCTGAGTGGTGTCCTTGGGTAAGGTGGTAGTATTCTACATGCCTGGTATATCTTCATATAGTGTGATAGACCCAAAGCTCAGCTCCCAGGACATAAAAATGAACCTAACGCCATCCCTGCCCACCAGAGGACAGACAGGTAAACATAATTATCGTCCAGCACGATTAGCTAGCCATCATTTACATGGGCCCATTTGTACATTGAGGCACAGTGGTATAAGGAGCATCGGATTTGGAGCTAAGAACCTCTGGGGTTGAGACCTGGTTCCTCTACTACCCAGCTTAATAATATCAGTCTCCTTCTCTGCAAAATAGGGACAGTAATCCCCATGGTCAAGGACTGTGGTGAGGCATAAACAAGGTGCTAGCATAGAAGTGCATGGTGAGCTGATGTGTTTATACAGATGTGTACCATTAGCAGTCCTGCTGGGAGAGCCAGCCCTCAAGGCTCCAGGAGTTAGCCCTGAAATTCTTTTAGCCTTGCATTTCCAGAGCTGACTAAGTGGTTGGGGGGCAGGATGTTAATGGAATTTGCACCTGGGGATTTCGTTGGCATCAGCTTGAGTGAGCTCATGAAGAAGGAAGCAAGGTGGGAGGCAGCCAGGCATTGAGGAGCAGCTGGTGAAAGCAAAGGCCTGTCTTAGGTGGGTGCTGGGGCCCTTGGTCCAGGCCAAGGCCCAGCTCCCCACCCACTTTGTTCCTGCGCCAGAGACTCCCTCTTGAAGCTGTGGTGAGGAACTGGCAAATCTATGGGCCCGAGATGCTGTGTTGCAGCACCAGAGGTAGGCAGCTGGGGCCAGGGGGGCCAAGCCAGAACCCCTAACCCCAGAGAGATTTTCTCATAGGAGAGGCAGCTTGGGACCTGGCCAGCAAACACCAGCAAAGTGGAGAATGTTGGCACAATGGACCTGCCATGCATTGGGAACTTGGTTAGGGAGGAACATAAAGAAAAATGACACTGTCGTTGCCCTCAGGAAGCTTAATAAATCATCGCAATCATTGTTTACCAAGCGCTGAGCACTAATATGTGGCAGATAGCCGAATGCTTCACACGCTGCCTCTTAATGCTTTAGCCAGCTCTGTATTGTTAATCCTTCTAAGGACACTGAGAATCAACCAGGTTGAGACTTGCTGAGGCTAGTAGGTATGGAGTTGAATTCACACCAGGTCTGAGTCCAGCGGTTGACTCTTAACTGCTGGACTCTTTCTTTATCCAGCAGTGCTGCCTACCAAGCCTGGCTCTGGCTTCAGGTGTGGGAAAATATTAACAGGTGAAGAAGGCAGGATCATGCCCATTTCAAGTCAGGAAATGGGCAGGTAAATAACTAATAGCAGAGAATTTACTCAATGTATGTCTGAGGAAGTGTGCCCAAAGTCTGGTGTGACAGGCCAGGGGAGCAAGGAAGGGAGGGAGGGGTGGCACAGGAGTGGGCAGAACAGGCTTCATTCCACTGGCGGGGCCAGGGCAGGCCAGGTGGATGCGGGCAGGGCTGGAATTCCCAGCCCTGGAATTCTCTGAGTTTGGGGTAAATGTGAGCAGAGGCTGTCACCAACGCTGTAGATTCAAGTTCAGATGGGGGCTCAGGAAGGGGAGGGAGGAAAGTGGGGACAACTTGCAGATGTCCCCGTACAAGGAAGAACTTGATTTCTGTCGGTAAAAGTAGAAGTCGAGAGGTTTTTGAGAAGGTGGATGACGTGGCCAAAGTTGTTTTAGAGACTCTCTAGCAGGGCCTGGAGTGTCACAGTGGAGAGACCTGTCTGGAGACTATTAGGACCACACCATTTATTCTTTTGACCTCACGAGACATCAGCAAACTTTCCTTAGAGTCACAACGGGCCCAACTCACGGCCCCTGCCCAGAAGACCTTATGCTTTGTCCCCTAAAGCAAGGGTGGGTAGTTTCTAAGTCCTTGTCCTCCTACCCTGGTGTTCTGTAACCTCATTCATCAGTGGATCTTTTACCTTGTATCTGCAGGTCAGGGTTTGGAAAAGAGGTGATGTGTCTGGAGCCACAGATCCCTTTCCTCCCTTAGCTTCCATGGTGGCCATTGGTCTGCCTCTCCCTTTCTCCATACTTGCCCGGTTCACGCTGTGAAGGCCTTTCCTCTCTGCAGAGCAGAGAGGCTGGTGTCTTTGTCTAGAGGAACTCACATTCCCCATCCCTTCCCAGATCCAGCAGCCCTGTAAAGAAACAACACAGTGGCCTCCATGGAAAGACCCGCTCCCCAGGAGGGTGCTGATAAGAGCTTTGACATGTTTGATACATGTTTGCTAAAGGAAGGAGGAAGAAGATAGGGTCAGGCCCACCCATTGATCCCCACCCCACTGGCTCCCTGTCGGTGGAGGAAGGCAGGGCAGCCCACACTGAGCCCTTCCCCTGTGCTGGGAGCCCTGCTAGGTGCCTTACTTCCGTTTTGTTTCATCTTCATGACAGTCCTGTGAGGTGGCTATTAATGTCCCGTTTTACAGATGAGGAGACTGAGGCTCAGGGATCGTGGCCAGCCAAGATCAGAGAAAGCAGAGAGGGCCAAGAGGCAGTCCTATCAGGAGCCTTTGTTACTCACTGTGTTTTATATATTTTCTTACTATGAGAGGAAATGAGGGGGAAAGGAGATTAAGTCATGTTTTAATTAGAGTTCACTATCTGAAGAAAAACCACTGTTTTGCTGATATATTTTCTTCTAGACTTTCTAAAATTAGAATTTAGGTTGGGTTTTTGTAATACACAGTTATAAGTTATAGTTTTCTTAGACATGCAATTTATCCTTATGATACCTAGCATTATGGCAGCATGAAATTGTAAGCTCTTCTGAGTGTTATTTTTGACTCCCTAAGATCCTTAAGAGAGTCAGTAGCTATGTTGAGGGGCCAGAGAAGCCCTGGGCCTGGGGTCAGGAAGTTGGAGCCTGAGCATCGGTCACCACGCCTCACTGGGGATCCATGGATAAGTCGCTGCATGCTCTCTTCATCGCTAAAGTGAAGGGGTGCACACCGCGCTCGGCAGTCTTCCCTGCGTCAAATCACAAGTGAGAAAGTGAGAAGAGGCCTTTTGTAAACTATAAAGGGCTCTGCCCCCCCACCAGGAATCTTCCTTATCTTCCCTCAGTCTCCTCCAGGGAAAGTTCTGCCCTCCCCTCGGTCCCTGAGCCTTCGCTAAGGGGCGTGCAGCAGTAGTGCCAGACCCCAGCATCTCTGAGACACTCACATGAAGGCACACCCCTCCTTATGTTACCCCAAAGAGGACATTTCCTCTAAGCAGAACAGGGTCGCCGACTCTCAAAGACCACCAGCCCACACCTCTGCCTTTGTCCCCTCTTGGGGATTTATCCCTTCTCTTCTCTCAACAGCCTGGGACACCCCTGAGAGGCCTCTGGGCTCTACTGTGACCTCAGGAAAGCCCCGGCGCCATTGAGTACTAAAAAGCTTGCCACCTACCAGCTGTCATAGCAGTCAATGGCAGCTGGCGCTTGGCCCTAGGACTCTCGACACATAGCTCTTCTTTTCGCAGCGACACAGAAGTACACGTTCCACTGGAACCAAACCAATTATGAGGTTACAAAGGCCTGAGTTCAGTTCCTGGCTCTGCTGCTTTCCTTTCCTCATTCTCAGTTTCCTCCACTCAAAAATGGGCATAAGACTGCTGACCTCCTGGAGTGACTGGGGATTATATGAGAGAACATGTGTCTAGCCAGAGACATGAGGACTGTCTCTGACTGTCCCCGTCAGCACTTTCCATGTGAATGTCCAGGGCGGAGCAAGAACCTGTCCAGGGCACCCTCAGAGTGTTCACAAGCACAGCTATCTAGTTAGGTCTCATTTTGTGCCCCTGCTTCCCTTACATCAGCTGTCCCTCCCATTGCCTCAATTCCATGCCCATGGTGGCCCAGTGATGACCACCCTGCATGCGTGCAGAGCTTTTCAGTTTGTGTTGCATTTCAGTGAGGGTCGAATGAACTTATATGAAGACGGCAGGACAAGAATTACTGCCTCGTGGTTCAAGGGACAAGGCTGAGGCCTGGAGAGGAGTGGTGAGAGGCCCCCTATCTGTACAGGTAACGTTTAGGCTATGTTTGGGCTCCAGGTTACATAAGCAGGAGCTCGTGAGAGGCCATTTGGCGCTTAATAGGCACATTATATTATCGCTTTTATCAAAGGGTAATCTCAGGGCCTGTTTTTGTATGTGTGGTTTGTTTAAACCCCAGGAAGGGTGGATGTGAGCAGACCTGATTAGCAGGCAAGGTAGGGCCCTGACTGGTAATGAACCTCTGCGGTGAAAAGCTCACCCAAGGGAACAAAGGGGACCTAAAGCAATTTAATATTTTCCTTTTGGTTCCAGACATTGGAACACTCTGTCCTGCCTCAGCTGGGACCAAGCCCGGAATGCACCTGGGCTGGATTTAATCCTCAAATTGAACTCTACAAAAGAAAGGGGTGGGAGAGAAGGGGTTTCCCATAGTGGGGTGGGGAGAAGAACCCCGCTTCTCCCTGCCCCCATGCAGAGCCAGGGTAGATCAAGTGGCAGCCCCTTTAAAGTTTCATGGAAGGGTGGTAATACTATCCCGTTGCTCCCTCCCCACCCACCCGAGTCTAGAAGGTGGGCAGGTCCCTGTACCATCCCTCCCTGAAGGGCAGTGGGAGGGGTGGGGGGAAGACAGGGCAGTGGGGCAGAGCAGGGCCACCCCAGATGAAGAGACCTGCTGGAGTGAGGCTTGGTGCCTTCTATGTCCCAGGCTGAGTGGCTGCTGTGTGGTGGGAGGGAATAACCACAGACTGGCCTGCTTTTCACTGCTCAACCCTTTCCCTCCCTGAGCACTGCCATCCAAGGAGCTATCGTGGGCATAAGGATTGAATGTCACAGTGTACATGTAGTGCCTGGCATCAGTGGCAGCTACTGTGATAATTGTACGGGGAGGGAAACTGAGGCCAGGGGAGGTGACATGGCTTGCGCCATAGCAAGTGTCAGTGGGAAAAGCCCCTCTTGGATCCTGTCTCTCCGCCAGCCACCCTGCCAGTCCTGCTGGAGACAGCAGATGAAAATAGAGGAATTGGAATTGCACAGGCCTGGGTTCTAATCCTGCCCTGCTTTTTACTAGTTCGGGGTAAAACCCTTTTCCTCTCTGAGCTTCTGTTTCTTCATCTGTGTAATGGGTGAACTAGCCCAGCTGCATGCCCTAGGTCAAAGGAAGAGCCAAAGAAGAGTAAGAGCTGTATCAGCAGAGAAGGGCGGGGGCAGGGCAAGGGGGGAGGGGATTAGGATGGTATCCTCAGAGTCTATCTGAAAGTCTAGACACAGGGTCCCCGTTTGGAATGAAGGATCCTGCCTCTGGAGGACAGGCCAGGTGAGGGAGTTTAGGACTATAGACCCAGACATTGTCACCAAAAAGAGATGAGGCAGGGCCAGTCCTTGCAGGGAGACCTCGGTCTGAGAGGCTGGAATGTGGGTCTCAGGCATGGCTCAGCCACTGCCAAACCATGACAGTGAACCACGCTTTCCCTGTGCTCTATCTCGTTCCCCTCCCATTTACATGTGGCCATACATAACATTCTGAACCTCTCTAAGTCTCAGTTCCTTCTTTGTGACATGGCAACAGAAATTGCTATCTTAACAGTTTTTGTGGTTGCGAGGGTTAAGTAAGACTGTGTGGTGAGGTGGCTAGCACAGCACCCGACACATGGCACATGCTCAGCAGAAGTAAATGGAATATCCTGACCCCAACCCTGACCCCTAAGCTATGAACTCCACCCACTACCAATAGGACCTGGACTGAGAGAGCTGGAGCGGCCAGCCAAAGACCCATCTAGTCCAGTGGTTTTCCAGCTGGGTTCCTTAATGTCCTAAGGCAGAGATGGTAAGCAGGCATGGAAGGCTCCAGGTCCCCCCTCTCACTTCAGCCAGAACAGGCCCACTTTCATCTAAGAAAGTTAAAAATCCTCCAGTGTGGCCTAACCCCTTTTACCAAACAGCTGGGGAGTCTGAAGCCAGAGAGACACAGGGACGAGGAATTACATAATGAAGAGTATTCAGGGAAAGCATCCTGGGAGGATGGGGTACTCGTGGCAGCTCTCAGCTGTGCCTAGACACATTAGCTGGTGTTTTATGGGGTGGGGTTAGAACCAACTTGTGTGGGATACCTGCTGCAAAACCCTCCCCTATGGCTCTTTTTCTAGCTGCCACCATGCTGTGGCCCATGCTGCTGCCCACACTGCTGTTGCTGGCTGTGAGAGGAGTCCAGATGACTCGGCCATGCTCTCCTGGGTGCCAATGTGAGGTGGAGACCTTCGGCCTCTTTGACAGCTTCAGCCTGACACAAGTGGATTGCAGTGGCCTGGGCCCCCACATTGTGCCCGTGCCCATCCCTCTGGACACAGCCCACCTGGACCTGTCCTCCAACCGGCTAGAGACAGTGAATGAGTCAGTGTTGGCAGGACCAGGCTATACCACACTGGCTGGCCTGGATCTCAGCCACAACCTGCTCACCAGCATCTCGCCCACTGCCTTCTCCCGCCTTCGCTACCTGGAGTCCCTCGACCTCAGCCACAATGGCCTAGTAGCCCTGCCAGCCGAGAGCTTCACCAGCTCACCCCTGAGTGACGTGAACCTCAGCCACAACCGGCTACGTGAGGTCCCAGTGTCTGCCTTCACTACCCACAGCCAGGGCAGGGCATTGCAGGTGGACCTCTCCCACAACCTCATCCATCACCTCGTGCCCCACCGTGCGCGGGCCAGCCTGCCCACACCCACAATTCAGAGCCTGAATCTGGCCTGGAACCAGCTCCGTACCATGCCCGACCTCCAGGACTTGCCCCTGCGCTACCTGAGCCTGGACGGGAACCCACTGGTTGCCATCGGCCCAGGTGACTTCACGGGGCTGGCCGGCCTGACACACCTCTCACTGAGCAGCCTGCAGGGTCTCCCCAAACTGGAGCCGTATGGTTTCCGTGAGCTGCAGGGCCTGCAGGTCCTAGACCTGTCAAACAACCCCAAGCTCAAGTGGGCAGGAGCTGAGATGTTCTCAGGCCTGGACTCTCTGCAGGAGCTGGACCTGTCGGGCACAGACCTGGTGCCCCTGCCTGAGATGCTGCTCCTGCACTTCCCAGCACTGCAGAGCATCAATGTGGGCCAGGGTGTGCGGTGCCAGCGCCTGGTACGAGAGGGCGCCTATCCCCGGCAGCCTGGCTCGAGCTCCAAGGTGGCCCTACACTGCATAGACACCCGGGAACCAGCTGCCAGGGATGCCCACACCTTGTGACGAATGGTGTGGTCTGGGGCCACATAAAGACTGCTGCCCTGGGCTGACTCAGGTCCTGGGTAATTTATATTTTAATGTGCCAATGCCAGTGGGGACTCTGCAGGCCTGTATGGCGACATCATTGAAACATAGTTGTGGACCTAAGAAGAGGCTTTGGACCTGGGACCAACACCTAGGAGCAAAGTCTTGCTGCTTTGTCTATGTTACCCCCAAACCATAAGCAGAGGGTCTTCAATGCCAAAGCAGAGCAGTCCCCTGCTGTCCTTCCCCACTTGACCCTAAAGTGCCTTCTCTCAGGCCTGGACCGATCTGACCATGACAGGAAGAAGGTCAGAGTTCAGGTCTATGGCTGAGCGCCCCCTTGGATCCACAGTCCAGTTACTCAGGGGCATGGGTTTCTTTTGCTCTGGGCACGTGTGGCCCACTTTATCTTTTTCTCTTCCCCCTAGGACCCTGGTTAGAATTTTAGTTATAGAAAGGACTGGAGAAAAAAAAATCAAGTCCACCTCCTGATGTGACAGATGGGGTAACAGGCCTAGAGAAGGAAAATTGCTAATCTGAGGTACTATAGCAGCAGAGGCATGACTGGACCCAGTGTCCTGCCTTCCAGCTGGGCACGTTTACATTTTGCTGTCTTCTCTAAATCATGCCATCCCTCTCCCTTTCTGGGCTCCCCTTGCTGCCAAGACCCACATCCTGCCGTTTATGCCCTTTCCCTGTCATCCCCAGGAGGACAGGCAAGGGCCTCAGGAGTGGAACGCTGGGCCCAGTGACCAGCTGTGTGGCACAGGCTAAGTCATTTCATCTCTCAGAGCCTCTGGAAGCTACAGGCATGCCAGTCCCAGTTCTGCCAGTTTCCCACTCGGGAGCAGTCCCCCAACATCAAGACTAAATGTACCCACTGATCCTTGAGGCACTGCCTCTAGATGCACGCCCCCCGCCCAACATGTTGACGCAATCTTGGAGCCCCACCTGGCCGTGGGCAAGGAGGGGCCTCCTAGATTCAGTTCCCACTGGCCTTGAATTCATAGAGCCTGCATAGCCTATCTTCCCCCAACTGAGAACGCAGCAGAAGGAGGCAGGCAGCTCTCATCCAAGTTTATGCTCCCCTACTAGGGTGGCTCCCAGCCCTGGGCTCTTTCCTTAGTCTTCTTTTTATACAAGTTGTTGCCTTTTTAATGGACTGTCACTTTCAACCAGCCAGCCCACCCTCCACCCCCTGCTGGTAGGGGATGGAAAAATGTCACTTGTAAAAGAAAAAGTTTCATTTGTTTACTTTTGTAATAGTGTGTCCTAGGGATATGTTGGGGAGAAGGTGTTGGGTAGAAGCCAACCATCAGTGGCCATGTGGGCATCAGGGGGCTGGTCCCACAAAGATGCCCACAGGACACTGAGAGCTCTGTCTTCTCCTACCAGCCCCACCCAATACCTAACTGGTCCTTGGTTTAATAAACATTTTTTAAAGAGTCCCTCCTTCCATCACTTTACCATTGTTCACTGACATTCCCTGGGCTGGGCCCTGGGGCCACAGGATGAATCAGGACCTGCCCTGCCCTGGGCTGCAGGTTTTCCCTGAAAAGCCCGATAACCTTCCAGGATGGGGAAGTGAGGTGACATGGAGAGGGGAGTTACTCAAGAATAGGTTGTACCTTTTACTATAAGTTGCACACTGTCCACCTTCCTTATCTCCCCTCTCCCTGCCACCCTGACTCCCATGTACTAGCCAGGCTCTTGCATGCCTCTGCCTTTGCTCAGGCTGTTACTCTGGGACCTTGCCCTTCCCCTCCTTCATCCCTATCAGCTCCTTCTCATCCTAATAGGCACAGTTTCTGCCTCACCTCCTCAGAAGCTTTTCCTGAGGCCCTTCTCCATCTCTTTCCTCTGAGCTCCAACAGTGCTTTATTCCTTCTTGGCATTTCGACTGCAGTGGTGTCCTAACTCCTGCTTGTACACTTCCAGTGACAGGGAGCTCATTTCCAGCTCATCTGAGTGGCTCTTTTGTCAGCAAATTCTTCTTTCTAACTGGCCATTGTCGATAGGAATATCTATCACCAACAATCACAGGTTCACCTCCATTTCTGCCACGAAAGGACTCATGTTCCTGGGTTAGGACAGGGAAGAGGACATGCGACTATAAACAGCACAGGGAGCTGTGAGAGCCCTGTGGCAGGGTTAGGAATGCTTCCTGGAGGAGGCTCATCCACACAGCTGAGAAGGACAAGTGTGCCTGAACAGAAGGAGCTGCACTTGGGAGGAGTCATAGGTGAGCAACGGCACGGAATCCAGAACTGGCCACAGGAATGGGTGGAGAGCTTGCCCATCTTGTCACTCAGCCCCTCCCCACCCCCAGGAGCCCATATAGACGCCTACAGTCAATATGAGAAGGGGATGAGGCCTGGGAGGGTACGTTGTTAGGGTGAGAGGCCAGCACTCAGTCCTCCAATTGGTCTGCACCCCTCCCACATTCCCTGGGATGAGAGAGGCTTTAAATGGAAGGGAGGGGAAGAGATCCCTGGAGTTACACTCAGTGGGGCTGGGCCCTCCCAAAGCCCCACTTGATGAAGGAGCCCTTGGAGGAGGGACTTGGAACAGGTCTTAAAGATAGGGACTAAGCGGTCCTCAGGCAGGAGGGGAAGGGAGGCTGGGTCTCCTGCAGGAGAGGAGTGAGCTCCGAGGCAGGTCACCTCCACCCTGAGATGCAGCTGCAGTGGGAGGGTGGGCGCAAACACCATCGCTGCGTGGTTGTCCTTCCTGTGAGGACATTACCCCGCACCCCCAGCCCTGGCCTCGGCCTGTCTGAGGGAGAGCGGAAGCCCCACGGTGAATGGGGCCTCCATGCAGGCCCTCCGGAGGCTCTCGGCCCTCAGCGCCACCTCGTGGTCACGCGTGGCCAGACACCCCAGATCTGAGGGGGTCACTCCAGCAAAGCCAAAGTGGACCTGAGCAGTTTGCAGCCAGCCCCACCTTCCCCTAGAGAGACTGCTTTCATCCTGCCATACTCCACCCTCCTGGATTCCTGGGGCTGAGAATGGGGTCATTAGAATCTTACAGAATTATGGAGATTAGTGCAAAGGTTCGTTTTGGAGTTCACAGAAAAGCGTTAACATCCTGGGCTCGTTACAAACCAGTTGTGTGACTGGCCTAGTCACTTTACCTCCCTGAGCCTGGAAAATGGGGATGAAAATGTCTCCTTCCACAGGTTTATATGAAGAGTAAATGAAGTAACGTGTAAAGAATCAAGCACAGTGCCTGGCACAAAATTGACACGTCATACATAAATCCTTGTTCTGGAAATTTCTCATTCAACCATAGAATTATGAAGTGAATTACAGAACCACATAGTCTTAGACTCGTATTTTGATAACTGACTCAGAACTGAAAAATTTCATAAAGTTTAAGATCTGCAATGGCAGAACAATACTGTAACCCGCAGGATCTTTGCTCTGTGCGCCTAACGTGGACTAGGCTACAATGAGTATGTCAGTTGAATTTCAGGGATGGAGAAGCAACTGAGGCACAGCTTGCCATCATGACACAGGCTGGGTGACAAATATTTTCTCTCATTTCATTAATAATACAGCTGCCATTTACTGGGCACATGTTTCTTGGACTTTGTGTGTGTATACTATCATTTCCTTCTCCCAACAACTGCCCCTGGTGTTATTGTCACTGTACAGATTAGGAAACCAGCCTGAGCCTGGCTTCATCTGTCAGATAATTCATCCTTCATTTTATCTATCCTACCTCAGTAGCCAAGTTTGCCATGCAAATCCCACATATCAAAGAGGACTGAGAATTATGAGAAACCAAAAAATACTGGGATTCCATTTATTTTTCTGTTGAAAAAAAAAATGGGGGAAGTTAAGTAGCTCAAATATCAGATCAAATTATTTAATCAGATCATTGATTTTAGATCTTAGAGCATGAACAGCCAAAGATCAGAGTCAAAGTCTTCCTCCTGACTCTTCCTGACCTCATTTCACAGCTGGGGAGACCGAGGCTCAGAGAAGAGCAGCCCAAGGTCACATAGCAGGTAGCCAGGATTCTGTGTTTCAGAACTGGCCGCATAATTTGTGGAACTCAGTACAAAATGAAAACGTAGGACCTCTTGTTCAAAAATTATTAAGAATTTCAAGATGACAAGAGCAGAGCATTAACTCAAGCAAAGGACTCTTCTAAGGTCCCACTGCCTGTGAAGCCAGCCCGGTGTGCCTAAATCATACCATTTACAGAGGAGGAAGGGCAATCACCCAGACAGTCTTGGTCAGGGTGGCAGATGAGAGAGCCTGTGGATTCGTGTGTAACCCAATCCCTCTGTAGCTCAGGAAGCCGATTAGACTCTTTTAAACTCAGGAATTTCCCTCCAAGGGTATTACCACATCACCTACGAGTCCCCCAAACCGCCATGACCAAAGGGCTTTCTGAGAGAAGGCAGATAGAAACATAGACATTAACACCCACCAACTGCCTCCAAGCCAGCTCATAGGATGTTTCCCTGGACAAGACTGCCAGGTATGTGGGAGATGGCAGGGGAGGGGGGCACAGAGGTCCACCCTCTGCTCATACCTAATGTTCACCAAGACAATAGAGGTCATCATAGGCTAGTAGGGCTTTGCCCATCAATGCTTAATGTTCTGTGTTGGCTAATGTCCACCGGGGAGCAAATGTCCCTTGATTCCTAAGGTTTATCAACACCTAATATCCATCAATGACAGCTCTCACCAATGGAAGATATCCACTAAAGGAAAATGTCCAGTGGTGGCAATGTCCACTACTGCTCAACATGTACCAATGCCCAGCATTCGCAGGTAACTAATTACAATTACGATTGCTTTGTGCATCAACACCTAATATCAGTCTATAGGTCAACATCTGGCAACAGCGAATAGCCCTCCTGTTAAGTCAAATGCCCTGTGTTTATTCTTCTCTTTTATTTATTTAAGTACTAATAGTTGTATTTATAGGGATTATTGTGTTTGTTGAGCTGAGCTGGAAATTCTTCCTATGTTTACTATTTAATTCCAAAAGCTATTTATCATTTTATATTGCATACCCATTAGTCAAAAGATTCCCAATTAGGAATACAAACATACATTTATGTTTCTTGATATATACACATGTGTATATATGCTCCCTAAAGCAGCATAATCAGTGATTAAGATGCAGGCTCCAAAGGGAGGCTTCCTGGGCTCAAAGCCCAGCTCTGCTGCTTGTGGCTAAGTGGCCTGGGGTGAGCCACTCAACCTCCCTTTGAGCTCGGTTTCCACATCTGTAAAGTGAAGATAGTAGCTACCTCACAGGGTTGCTGTGGGGAGTATAAGTAAGTCAATGTGCACAGAACACCAAGAACAGTACCTGGCATATAGTAAGCACCATATAATAAATAATATGAAAAACTATTTTTTGGAAAATTCTTTCTTTTTCGAATTGATAAGTATGCTGTGGCTCAAAATATTCTCAGTGTTTCTTCAGTGGCCATCAGATTTTAGCAAATAACTTTGCTGAAGTTGTTATGCTTAGGAATTTGTCTGAAAAGAGGTTCTACCCTCTGCACTAGTACATTTCAAAATTATCTCAGCTTCCTTCTAATCCAACACTTGTAAGGACATGATGCTTAGGAAATATACTTACAATTCTTCTGCAAGCCTGGCAATCACAGACAGAACGGCCAACCTGCTGTGGTTTGAGATGCAGGAATAAACCTCCCACTCATCCCACTCTCCATGACAGACTCACTGTGTCCAAAATTCCACCGTGATCCTTTGGCTTCAGCCATGATCGTTGTCTAATGTCCTCGCTAGAAAGGCAGGGGCCCAGGACACCGAGAGTGTGATTGGGGGACAGAGTTAAGTATCTATGTGAGAGTAGGGCATTTATTCACTAACTAAGGGAGCAAGGGGTACCTGCCCACTTTGTCCAAACATGACATACCCTAAAAATGGTTTTAAGGTGCTATGTTGATATAACGATTGTTAAGACTGTGTTGCTGGGGGCAAAGTTGTGAGACCCATAAAGAAAATAATTGAAAGACAAAGTCTTTTACATATGCTGCCTTGTCTACCACACAATGTGATATCCTTATATAGGTGGCCCTCAGTGACCTATACCTCCTAGTATTATCACCCTGTGTAGAACCTTCCTCTTGAACTTAATGCTGGGCCTGTGATTTGCTTTAATCAATAGAATGTAATGGAAGTGGCTCTGGGCCAGTTTTAGACCTAAGTCTTAAGAAGTCCTGGCAGCTTTCATTTTGCCATTTGGGAGCCTGGAGCTGCCATGTAGGAGTCTGGAGAGACTACGTTAGAAACTTCAAGTCTATATGGAGAGAGAAAAGCTCAACCACTCTGTAGCCAGCAGATCACAGACTCCGGCAGACCCACTAGCTTAATGCACAAGAGTGACGATGACAAAACCAGCAGGAGACCCAGCCAGATGATCCCAGCCCTGACAGCAAATCATGAGCAAATAA